GTGATGAAGGTGAACAGGTGATGAAGGTGAACAGGTGATGAAGGTGAACAGGAGCAGGTGATGAAGGTGAACAGGTGATGAAGGTGAGCAGGTGTTTAAATTCCGTCGTCTTCCGTCTGCTCTGTATTTTCTTTAGGTTTTAATTTTCTCATCCAACGTTTACAAAAATCAAAACCTAAAAAAACCACAGAAGAGTAGAACATCAGCAGCGTCAGGATGTGACATCACTTCCTGTTTACCAGCAGCTCGGAGGATCAATCTTCTCCTGGCTGATCTTTCAGAAGAACGTCGGCATGTTGACAGCTGCCAGTCACATGACTGAACGTTTGATGGTGATTGGAGGACGGAGCTGCTGCTCATCACGGACGACGTCAACAGGAAACACTCCTGGACACAGACGAGATGGGACAAGGTTAAAATGAGAGAAGCAAAGTATTCTGGGAAATGACGTACACTAATTATTCTCCAGTTTGTTAAGATGAAAATGAAATCATCAGATTAATTTATTACACCACGTTGGTTTAATGATCGACTTCGTGGTCTTGTCATCAGATGTCAGACGCTGGGGTGAAGAGTGGGATCAGATGACGGGGGAGGACGGGTGGTGATGGACAGACCAGGTGCAGGTGAGGACAAAGGTGTGATCAAGCCCCTTGAGTGATGGTCTGTAACTCAGCTTCATGTTCCTCCATCAGAAGCCATGTTGTCACTGAGAGTTCTCTTCACCACTATGCTACTGTTGCCTAGCAACCAGCTGCCTCTCTGCAGACGAGCCAGAGAAGAAAACTGACAGTATTCTTATATATATATCTATATATATAGATAAATATAGAAAATGACTGGAGGCCACCGCTCAACACAAGAAACCATTTCAAGCATACGAACTCTCCAACCCCCCCATTTAGAGCATCCTGAGGTCCAGGGGACGACTCCTGTGTCCGAGGCCCGTCCATACCTGGTTCTAGACTTCATCTCTTTAATTGCCAATTACTGACTTTATAAAGTGAGGGGAGACGTTTTCTATGGAAACTCCACATGTTCTCATTCTGATGTGATACCAGGGATTTAAACTTGGGTTAGAGACTCTGTAAGCAGTGATGATAATATTATACTTTTTCTGTGTATATGTTTTTTTCTGTATGTAAACGGTGTTGATGGTTCAATATCCCATAATCCCCAGGGCACTTCTGCCCCTACAGTAAAGACCCTCTGGAAGCTTTGAAAACGCTTCTTCGTCCATTCTTTGGTGTCTGTCAGTCTTTGTTGGTCTCAGTCAGTCTTTGTTGGTCTCTGTCGGTCTCTGTTGGTGTCTGTC